TTTATGTTTTTGGCGTGCTTTACCTATGCAGTGATATTTGAGGACTAGTCTAACCTTCAAGAAAGGTTGTTTTCTACTTTCTTTATGTTGAACCAGTCTCACATATGCTAAGAATAAAGAGGGATTTACTCCCGTTTTTGTCTCTTTTTAGTCTCCTGTTCGAACTGTATGTGGGAGGCTATGTTTATTTTTCTCCTCTGTTGAATCTAAAAAGAAAATGCATGTTTGGGGGGGGCTCGATTTGACTCCCCGTGGCCACCTTTTTTACTCAAGTTGCATGTTATACCTTGTTGAATGCCTTATAGCTTGTTGATTCGATTTTCTTCTTGTATGTTTTTCATTGTTTAAAGCTTTATGGCTTAACCACTTGGTTCAAAGAAGCTTTTGTTACATGATATACATTATTTGGAAGCTATAGAGTTTGTAAAAATCAGAAACTTCAATGTTTTTATCTATGGAAAAGCTGGAATAAAAAAAATGTATTCAGGAGTGGTTTTATAAAAATCTGAAAACTTTCGGTGTTCAATTCGTGAAATTCTGAAGCCGTTAGTGTTCAATTTGTAAAAATCTGAAATTTTGGGTGTTTTATTTGTAAAAGTTTGAAAATTTTGATTTGTTCATTTGTAAAAGTTTGAAAATTAGGTGCTAGATATGTGCATACATGAGAGTTGGGTGCTATGTTTGTAAGTGAAATTTTTATTTTTGGTGAAATTGTATTAGAAAGAAAGAAAAATTTGAAGATTTGTAAAAATCTGAAAGGTTTGGTTTGCTTATTTGTAAAAATCGGAAGGTTTTGTTGCCCTTCTTGTAAAAATCTGAAAGTTTAGGAAGTCTTGATTTGTAGTATAAGATTCCTGCATATTTTCATATCTCACATGCAGCATCGCTTTGGCACTTTTGAATTCATGCATGAATATGCCTATTTCACTAAGAAGAAAAAAGAATTTAGATATAAGCCACCTAACTCTTATGTATTGACATATCTAACATAAACATTTGGAAGGATGGGGAATTGGATGACATGTACGAATGTCCATGTTGGGGGCTCTTAACCACCTTGTTTTATGGAAGTATGAAAATTCATATATGTATTCATTTTATGGAAATCAAGAAAATTAGCTTGTTGCTTGCATAATTTCAAGAGGAGGTTTCTACGATTCATCTAAATAAAATTTCTGGACTTGTTGTTTGGTTTTGGTCTTGTGGTGGCTCGGTTTTGGCCTTGTAGTGGCTGGGGTTTTGGTCTTGTAATGACTCGGTTTTGGCCTTGTGGTGGCTGCGATTTTGGCCTTGTGGTGGCTCGGTTTTGGCCTTGTGGTAGTTGCGGTTTTGGCCATTTGATGGTTCGGTTTTGCTTCTTAGGCTATTGTTCCTATTTGAATGCATGTTGAAGCCTGTTTTAATGCTTTAAGAGGTTGATGTCTTGGAGATTCTTGAAGTCGTTGGGAGCTGGTGGCTTCCTCCTTGTGGTCCCTGGCCGTGAGCATCTCCTGCCCTTTTTTTTTTTTTTTTTTTTTGTTGGGTGATTGTGGTGGCTCCTCTTAGCTTCTCCTTACCCGTGAGGCCTTGGAAGTGAAATTTTGAGGCTTTATGGCTTATGTTGTGAGAGGTAGTTGCCTCTCTTGTCCCTCCCTACTGATCCTACCCGAGAAAACCTGTTGGGTTCCCTTGTGTTGCGTGGAACTCATACCTCATGGAAGCTTTAATTTGAAACAGAATTAGATGTGTTAATCTCTATGAAATCCATACTTCAACCTTCGTTGCTTGGAAGAATTCATTTCCCCTTTTGAGGAACGATTTGTTAAATGTCTGGAGATATTTTGAGGTTTAATCTTGCGGGTCGAATTGATTGCAATAAAAAAAAAAGAGAAAGAAAAGAAGAAAGATATTTTGATGTTTGGCAAAATTTAGGATCGATTTGGAGGTTTATAATTTGTGCATTTTGGGGATGTTTCATGGATAGCCCGAGGAGTGTGCTCCACCTCTTCACCTATTCGAGAAATCCCTTCAACTGAATGTTTTTAGACTAACTCTCCTACCGTTTTAGTTCCTCTTTCCTAATTTGATTTTAGAGACGAGTTAGTCTTCTTTCTTTTCTTTTCTTGTTTTTTGGTTTATTTTTTTGCTTCTTGGTTCAGATTTTAGATGCTTATGTCCGATGCATAAGTGAGCATATATAGTTTTTTGTTATATATGAAACCATCAAGCAAGGTCGCAAGTATGTCGGTTTTGTTTTGAGGCTTAGGGCGGTGATGAGCCGGTGGTAGAGCGGAATGATATTTCATCCTACGACATCAGGACCCAATCCAGGGACCCGATGAACTGTAGGATGATAATATCATTTACCGCCACAATACTAGCGGGGGACCCGTACCTTCTTAGGTTGTTGGCGGTCTTACGCCCGACGACGTGATTGACTCGTGGATAACTATAATTTTCAAAACTGATAAGAACAGACATGATAATAACAAATACAATATTTATAAAAATATTTTTTACTATAAAATTGATATAATTTCCTTTTGTATGCTTGAAATCCATGTGCATGCTAAAATACAAATTTTAAATATATTATAGCTAGTTGTCCACTTGTCGATTACCGGTACCGGGCTAAGGGCTCTATACATTCGGGTGACCGATAGTAACATTCGACGTCCATCGAGGTGTTTGCGGTTTTCTCTCTTCGGATTCTTCGTGTTATTGGAGCTTTTGATAAAACACTCGTGGTCTTTTTTTCCGGAATCTCCCGGGATCTCCCTGTGTTTTTGATAGCTTTTCTTGGGTTTTCCGTCGTGGGTCATTTACCGATTTTCTCAACTTTTTTTGTTGTGGGTCATTTGTCACTTTTTTTCCTCGAATTTTTCCAGGTGGTGTTTCTTTTTGTTGCTCACTTTTACTTATACAATGTGTGCTAGCTCGTTTCTTAAATCATGTTACTACACTTATACCTGCTACATCAATCACACTTAAGGAGCAGCGGGCCTCCTAGGTATACAGGTTTGTTTTACATTTACAGCGCTTTACTTTACAACACACTTTATTGGTCTTGTCTACTGTATATTCTACTGCTTTCTTATACTGCATGTTTTACTGCTCCTATATACACTATGCTGTCACTGCTTTCTTCTACTTATGTCTGCTACTGTTTCTTTTAAACACTATATCTTAGAGTAGAGACCAGTAGTTGGTTTTATAGAAGATATCCAGCAGCAGATCGTTGACTCAACAATTGCATGTACACTTAAAATTAATATCGAACTCGAATGTGTTACGACGAAGGGTTTGCAGCTAACATTGTGAGCAGCACGACTATCTTTAACAGCAAAACATGACTACATCAACTAAACAATTCCTTACAAATTAAACAACAAGTCATAGGATTTCGAGGTTGTTTGCCTAGTGCAACATAAATCCTCAACCTCTCCTCAACCTCTCTTTAGGTCTTTAGGTCTTTGTACAGCTCTGCTGTACAATCTAAGCCCTAACTCGTCTTAGTATTCCGAGTTTGTCGTTCGTCACAGCCTAAATCCTCATATCTTTCAAGTTATTTGTGTGATCCTTTTACACGAATGTAAGTCTTAATTAATAAAAACGACATGATGAAACATTTAAATAATTTCTCCTCAAAACCGAAGCCAAACAATAAGATAGACTGGGAAGTCACCGAGGTTCTCCTCTGGATCTATGACATCCTCTAGTTCTTCCTCCTTTGGATTCTACAATAAATGTTCCAAATTTGAGTCATTCCTCTTTCATACATCTTTGTCCGATTTCGTTGAAAAGTCATATCCTTTTAACCTCTTTGAAGATAAAATTTTTTGATTTTTATCGAGAGTTTTCTTAGGTGACTTCAACTATCTAAGATGTAATTAACTGTAGATGTTTGCCCTTATAGGAAGTTTTTCCGAACCAGTTTAATATAAATCATATTTAATCTTTCGTATTAATAGGAGAACTTGTCGGCAAATAAAATGGTTTTCGCAGACCAAACGGATATCACATATTTCTTATTTTATTTGATCAAATCTACCAATAAGTTATATGCATATCCTTCGGGATAGTGTACTACTTGTGGTATTGCGCTCAGACATCTAAACTATCAAATATGTAAGGCCCGCTCGGTCTCACTCTTCTAAATTAAATGTCTTTCCGAAGCGGGCGACGGGATCTCGATTCCGACAGCCGACAGCTTCAAACGGGCAACTCAACCAAAATAGTTTCGACAGCTTCTGGCGACTCCGCTTGGGAGGATTTAGGCCGTGACAAACGACAACCACATAATTCTAAGATGAGTAAGGCTTAGGTTGTACAACAGAGTTATACAAAGGCTTAAAGAGAAGTTGAAGATTTATGTTGCACTAGAAAAACAACCTTGAAGTCCTATGACTTGTTATTTAATTTCTAAGAAATGGTTTAGCTGGTGTAGACATGTTTTGCTGTTGAAGATGATCGTGTTGCCCGGAATGTTAGTTCTAAGTTCTTCGTCGTAGCACCTTCGAGTTCGATATTAATTATAAGTGTACATGCAATTGTTGAGTCAACAATCTGCTGTTGGATACCTTTTATAAAACCATCTGTACATCGTCATTCATGGTTCCCTTGGCCGTTTTCAGTTGGGCAGCTGCCGAACATCGCTTATCCCCTTCCAAACGCTGTTGACCTCCCATATTATCCTTCCCTTGCTATCCTACAAAGACCTCCCTGCTAAATCCGTTTCTTAAACACCTTTTAGGAGCCATAGAATGTTGTCACTCTTCCTCTCAATCTTCGATCAAATTGCCATTTGATAAAATGCTATCCTTACCAAAAAACGTGGGCATTAATAAACAATAAGAGAGAAGCATAAAACAATTAGCACAATGAAAGGAAAAAACTCTGTACAAATATCAATCCATGTCACTGATTAATTCAGACGGTGATATACTTTAAATTCTAAGAAAATAAAAAATATCATAAATAGCAGCATCATTACAAAAGAATAAACATCAAGATGCAAGTACCTATACGCATGGCAGCAGGCTTTATTATAAAGTGAGGCTTGAGCTTCCATTGGATTTGGATTCAAAGTAAGTGCAGTTTCAAACTGTACAAGAGCATCCTTTACCTACAATTACCATTTCCAAATACTAAATAGACAAGTAAATTGTACAAACAAAGCCAAGAAATAATTGCACCAAAAAAAAACCAATTAGGTAAAGTTCATGAGGAAACTCACTAAATGACAAAATTGTGGAAATTATATGGGCGGAAAAGTAGTGGGTTATGATTACAAATATAGTTTTGAAGTAAAAAAATGCATTCATAGAAAAAATGCATTTCAGTTGAAACGTCCGATTTAATTTCCTCGTAATGCAACCGTTACGTGTCAAAGAGTTCGAATCGAGCTCTTATAGTAAGAAGAGGTTGAAGACGACAGGCGTAAGCTAGAGTAGATACAATAGCAGTGACGACTGACCACGAGCACGTGCAAACAATGTCAGGGTGACTTCAGGTCTGTGTTTGAATACCTACAACAACAACTCAACGACGTACAAAGAAAAGGGAGAAAAGCCTGGCAAGAGCCTAAGCAAGATGAACGACGACTTTAGTCACAAACTCAAAAATAGTGACGAGCGACTAGCACCTTCCAATTGAAGAGACGATTGCGCGGATGTCCCTGCTCAAGACCTCGATCAAAATCGAGCATTGTATTGACACAAAAGTTTAGTTTGTGCGCGTTCTCGAGAGCAATAGCAATCGTATGATTGATTAATATTAGGGTTGTCAATAAAAGCTTGTCACTTATGTTCGACTCACTAAGTAGCTTGTGATTTGTTAAGCGAACGATTCGTACATGAACAATTTTTTTAAGCTCAACTCATAAACGAGCCGAGCACGAACAAACTTTAGTTCGCTCATGTTCAGCTCATTTGAGCTCAAATTAATTAAATAATAAATAATAAATATATAAAAGTTAAAATAATAAAATCTTTGATATGATATCAAAGACTTGGTGTATATAAAAAAAAAAATTGAGATGTTAGATAAGTAAAATACATAAGAATTGGGTGGTATGTAAATGTCTCTCAGAGTTTTCTCAAAAATCTCACCCTGCTTGCTACACTAAGGTGTTACATATGCAAATACATAAGAAATTGGTGGTATTTATGTAACCCTAAAATTTTGAACCAACTTGATGAGCATGCCAACTATTTCCTGCATTTATTTTAATTCCACATAGGGACATCGAGAGAAATTCGATTATTAATCTAGTATAAATGTAAAAACGAAGGTAAGAAAATCAAACGTTTCAGCTTCATGTGTTAAGCAAAGATGTATCATACTTTTTGTTCCTTTCAAAGTGTTTTAAAATAAAAAATTAATTTTCAAAGTTTTAATCCGAGCCAAACATAATGTTAATTCAAACAAACGAGTTTGAATCGAGCCGAACACAAATAGACTATTCACGAGTCATTTCAACACGAACAAGCACTAGTCTCGCTCAAGCACAGCTCAATTACACCCCAAACTGAGATTAATTTTAGGTTGAGCGAGCAAAAGGTAACATGGTTCAGGCAGTTTCATGCAAGTGTAGATGAAGACGACGATAACTCAATTGATCGAGTTTGTATTTGTGCTCGAAAATTAGAGCAGCCTCCAATTGAAATTAGGTATTTTTATTTTAAATATTTTAATATTATTTTATCTAAAAGTTATAGGATTTAGGATAGCTTAGTGAAATCAATATTTATGTAACAAGACAAATTAAATATTTGGAGCATTAGAAGTTATCAGTTAAATGAAATTTTAGTTTCTTAACCATTCCTAAAGCAAAATAATTTTAGAAATAGAATATTAATAAAATTCATATTTAGCGAGAGGTTATGCGATAATAATAATAATAATATCTAATAAAGTAATAATTAAATGAGTATAATATGTTGTGTATTAATTTGGAAAATTAAAATTTTAATGATTTTTGTTAAAAGTTAATTTTCAATATTAACTCGAAAGATGTTAAAACTAAATTGATAAAATTTTAAATAGTAATAAGAATCATAATAATTAAATTATGACAAATTGATTAATATCAAATTAATAGTAAATAATATTATTATTATTTGAAGAAAAAGCTTAAATGATTTAAAATAAAATGGCAATTTATATCTAATACATTAAAGATAAATAAAGGCAAATTACTTTTAAAAAGTAAGATTAACCTATAATAAATTGACAATAATTCTTTACACACCTAGTTATAAATATTCATTGAAGAAAAGCTAATAAAATGATATGCAAGGGAGTCATCAGAGATTGAAGTGAGTACTCTTACTTTTAAATTATAGTTGTTTTTTTTTATTTCTTCTAAACCAATTTCATTGATAGTTACTAAAATATATTCACACAAATTTATTCTGGTTTACATGATATTTTATTTGTTGGTCATATCGTGATAAAGAATATAGTCTTAATAATATTACAATTACACATTATTTTAAGTATATACACTATATTGAATTGAATGAAATAAATATATGAATGATATGAGCATGTGCATGTTGATTATAATGAAGTTCATCCAGTTATGATGCTAGTTGTAGATGCTAAAAATACCCATGCAAATATATTGAAATTTGTTATTGATATTGATGCGTGCACACACAAATACACACATATGTAATTGATATGGTAAGATTCATTGAATGCTTTGAAATATCATGAACAATCATATTTAAATAAGTGAATTGTCATACATATATACATAATGCTCTCATAATGGTTTATAGTAATTTTTACTAATAAGCATATTCTAATTTTTCATTACGTTTTCAATGACTTTTGTAGCTAAGTTTTTTGTTTAAAAATAAATAATAGTTGAGGAAGTATGTATAAAAAACGACGTCAATAAATAAAAAATAAATTTATTTTATGTTTAATTTAATTTTTAAACATTAATGATTTTTTTTTTACTTTGGATTTAAAATTAGTAATTAAATTCTAATTTCACCATCTGACTTTGTTCCTGTCTTGGAAAACTTTAAGCCCCCGGATAGGTTATGACATCAATAATTTGAATTTCTAAAAAAGGGTAGTTTGACAGTGACTAACGAGAAAACCAACAATGTTTATTCTAGCAACAACAAAAAATAATTTTGTTATCAAAGTCCCAAAATAATGTTATGGATAAAAAAAACTACTTCAATAATTTTTTTTCATACTGTTGTGTTGTAAATTGTTTTTTTATTTTTTTTTATAAATGTTCCATAAACTATTTTACATTAAATATCTACCAGCAATTAGATGTTTCTTAGTAAAAAAAGTTCATTAAGAGACATTGAACAACCAACAACACCCTCAAAAGTTTCAAAATTTATAATATCTAAAAGGTATATCACATTGTAATTATCAAATAGAAAACATCGATTCAGTATCGAGTCAACACCAATATGTAACAAATCATTCAGCTTGAACCGCGACACAAGTTCCATCTCATCCCTTGAAAACAGAATTTTGAGCCATTTAATAAATGTAAAGTTATTTTCTTCTCGATATTAAAATTCAAGATAAATGATAGTAAAAAAGGAGCCCAAAATAGCAATGACATACATGTGCCCCAATTAGCAATGACACGTGTGCACGTGCAAACACACAAACACAAACCAAAAGTACCCAACAAGTCCATTTCCATCTATGGAGCCAAAACTAGAAAGATAGCCAACTCTACCAAGCCGAAACTAAAGTTTTAGATCCGTAAAAAGTAAAAGTTACCTCATACTAGATAGTCACAAAGATTTTTATTGCTAGAAAACCATACTACAAAAAGATGTGATTGTACTCAACTATCTATTAATGTCAAAGGAAAAAACCCAATCATTAGGGAATGCAATAATCTAACTTTTCAAAAATGCCTCCTCAAGGTATTTATAAAAGACTTAATTGAGGGAATTTATGGAATTTTCTTCCCATGACTTTCATTCATATTTTCTTTATCTTCAATGTTCCTTGCAACTTGGAACTATAAACACAGTCAAATGTTTTTATTATCCTTAAAAGAATAACAATCTCTATACTTTGCTCTTGAGGACAGTGAAATATTTCTTCTGCTCGCCACAATGGGCATAGATTTACAAGATCATTCCATTATAAAATTGTAGATTTTTATAATTTTTTATCACATCGGCTATCTGCATTCAAAATCACTCTCTTAGCTGTCTTAATATTCATGAACTCCAAACGCTCAATTTCTAACATCCGTATCCGGTGCTTTCGTATAGAAAAATTTACATCGAACATAAGGTGTTGAGTGACAATAACATTAACAATTCTTGAATCAATCACCAACAGAAATTTGAGAATCCTAACCACTTGTTGTTGAATCTTGGAAGTCAATTCTTGTTGCTCCTATCGATGCAACACAGACACAAGTTATATAGTTGAGTACTATGCTTGATATTCGGACCAAGGTTGTGATTGATAATGTTATTCCTACTACTCCCATATAGCCATTGCCTGAGATAAAAATGCCGGCTTATTTGGTCATCAAGCAACTCTTTGTAGTCAGACTAAACAATTTGAAGTTGTTCTATTTTCTTTTCCATTGATCATCATTAGACACCTCATTAACTTCAAATTGTTGTTCTGCACAAGAAATCAACACAAAATTTTCTTTCATAATGAAGGAATTGTACGAGCTGTTTGGCTGCAGTTAGGACTTAACTTAGTGGGATTTATTAAACCCTACAGATATAAATTTAGTAAATCCTATGTGATTTAAATCCAAAATATTATTTTGAATAATAGGAGTTAAATCTCATTAAATCTAACTTAACTGTTAGGCAATTTATTTCAGAACTTTAGGATTGATATGATTGTGATATGTTATTAAATTTAGCTAATTAAATCAACATGAGCATAAGACAACATCTCAATTAATCAGTAATTAGTGATTCACTAAGCTAATTAAACAAGGTCCTATTTATACTAATCAAATTATAATTAGTTTATTACAGTATTTTATATTAATCATTAATCAAGAATATAAAAAATTAATTAGATTTAAGAATTATTTAATCAATGTGAATAAAAAATAATATTAAATTATTTAACTCAATATCTTTTAACTAATTAATATTAAATATTAAATTAATTTCACAATATTACTGCACTCAACTCCCTTCCAGTCCTATTAGAACCCCTTGATGAAAAAAGAATGAGGGAGTAACGATAGGAGCTCAGTAGTGATGTTGTTGACTCTTGCTGTTGATTCTTGCCTCAACCCCTTGACCAAAAAGGGCCAAGGAAGTTGTGACAAGAAGGTCAATGTGGAAGGCATCAATGGGATAGGTACAATGTGGTGAGGGAGAGGGATATCACAACAAAAGGATGCAGGTTGCTATTTGCAACGAACATAAATCCATTAATCTGTTGAGCTATTACATTTAACAAACTTGGAATTTATGGTGAAACGAAGGTAACAAGGGATTTAGAAATTGATAGGATTTATTTTGATGCATTAGACCATTTGGTAGGATTTACAATAAATCCTATGTAAATTCTGCTACCAAACAGCCCATACATTTTCTGAAAGCAGATTAACTTAATTCCTAGGAGTAATAATCTCTTTTAGTAAGCAACAATTTGTCAGCCAGGTTTTTGTTTACAAAACGACCAGGCTAAATTCAAAACAGTTTTTAAGTAACTAATTGTTAACAGGCAACATTAATTTTTAGTGACTCAAACTTGCAAGCCCTAGATGTAATTCGTAAGTTAATCATGTATTATCCAATAACCAAGAACAGAAGGTATTCATCACAATGGTCACCTACAAGAGCTTAAATAAACTATCAATTGTAATTACACTCCATAAACAGTAATTGTCTCACTCCAACTAATCACAGAAATTACTGCCATGAACAGAAGAGAAGCTTAAGTAACATCTGGGCATCTCAGTAAGTAATAATATAAATAACATGAGAAGTTTGAAAACGATACCCTTCCTTTGGAGAAGAGTGAGAGCCCCAAGGTGACGCAAGAACCCGCGGTCTCGGCGCTGGCTTCGGAGGGGGAGGAAGACTGAGAAGAGGACGAAATCTTGAGGTAGAGGCCACCCCTGCTGAATCTGTGATTTGTTGTTCTCCCATACCGGGAGCTTGGCTTAGGGCAACGGAGGAGCTCGAGTGGGAGAGGAGGAGATGCCATCGCCATTGGTGATCCAGGAGTCCACCAATACGCTATCCATATCAGTCCAAGAGAGCGACCGATAGCACGATAAATAAAAGAACTTTATTTGCGATGTGAGTTGAAAATACGGGAAAATATAAAATAAATTGAACTTTAGATTATATTACACTAAAGAAAATTAAATATATATCGAACTTGAAACACAATAACAATATTTCAAGCAACCTCATATGCATCCTTATATTTCCCCATTTGGACATTGCTAATTTCTTCAATTTTTCTTTTTTTTTTTCCTATTAAATTTCTTCTTGGAGAAGGTAAGAAGATCATGATGATATAATTGAATCAAAAAGAGTATTTTAATTAGTCTTTAACAACTATAGATAATTATTTATAATGTTTAAATGATGTTAAGGTCCCATAATTTAAGTGTTTTTTTAATGATTTATGCGCGCGCACGCACATACACATAGATATATATTAATCATAAGGAAAAAGATACATATAAATTGAGATTGAGGCTATTTGTATAGAAACATGAATGTAGAGTGTGAAAGTTTATTATTTGGTAATAGAAGGTAAAAAAGCTCTATCTCCATCATTAGTAGTGGCATCACCATACAATTCTACTCAAAAGACAAATAGTTTGCCAACCTTCACAAATATATAGCTCATTTTTTTTTTTCATTTTGCAGAGATCATATTTAGTGCTAATAGTATGAACTTATATGTAAAATCATAAAATTTCAATTTAAATGGAGTATAAATTTTTAAATTTTGAGGGAAAAAATTTTCATCATGAAAGAGATTATTAATTAATTAATTTTAATATTTTCCTAGAGCCTCCAAGCTTAAAGGGGTCCCCTCTTTCCTTTCTCTTTTTTCATAATTATATTTGTGTTATTGTAAAGAGCTATTTATCTATTAAATGAAGGTTGATTGTGAAAAAAAAAATTGAAATTTATCCAAAGCTTGAAGTCTCGGTGGCCAGCTTAAAAAAAATGTAGATTTTGTGATCTTCTATCACCCTATTAGTTTGATGAGTGATTAGTTTTGATTTATCTGAATTTTTTTCTTTTTTGTTTAAATTGTTTTTTTTTTACAGTGAGAACTTTTCCATGTAGGTTTCTACACCTTCAAAAATTTTCTCCAAGTTTTATTCTAGAAAACTCTAGCTAAAAAGCCAACATTAGTGGTTGACCAAAGCTAGGGTTAGTTTTGACGTAATTATATTGAGTTTTTTATCAACCTATACACCTTAAAAATTGGTGAAAGATACATAATTAGTCTAGATATATTTTTTATCATTAATAGATTTTTTTTTCTTAATTTTTTTTAAGATTTGAAAGTCTCCATGAAAGGTCTGGTGTTAGATTATATTTCCACATGACCTACTCTCCAAATATATTTTGAAAAAGAATATCAAAACTCAACAATTATTTACAAAAATTTCCTACGAAAATTTAGACATTCAAATTTGAAATTTTCAAGTAATTTCAAATCCTAGCATTACATTTATTCTTCACCCAAAAAAATTAAAATCAAATCCAGTGTTTTTTTTTTCTTTTTGATATTGGATTCTTCTTCTCATCTTTCATCCAAACTCAAAAATTGGACAAAACGGGTAAAGTTTGGCAATTTTTAAAATGTACCCAAAATTTTTGTGCATCCTTGAATTCTAATTAAAATAGGTTTATAAAATTTTACACATGAAATCGATCAATTCGATATAATGAACTATGCATGAATTTTAAATGAATTGGGAGATATAAAATTCAGAAGTTATATGATCATTAACTTAATCTAACCTTTAATATATCCTAATCTTCTTCTTAATCATGTATCTCCACTATAGTCAGTCGAACACCGCACTTAACCGTGTATGCAATGGCTGGATTGGTCGAATCACTGAGAATTAAAGGGAGATAAGATAAAATGTTGCATTTCTTTTTTTTTTCCTATCCCTGTTTAGTTTCACTCGATGGATGATTCTGCCAAACGTGATCCATAGAGCATTCTATGAGGCTAGGCGGTGGTTCTGGGAGCCGTGGGCTACTGTCTGAACCTCTGGGTAAAAATTGGCAAGTTTAAACCCTCTTTTGCACTATTCTAAAAATTCTTTTCCTTCCTCCTATTTCTGTTTTGGCATTCGTCACGAATTTGTGCATTTTTCGTTCAAGGTAGTCGTAGTAGGAGATTAATTGTGTCGGAAGCTTGAACTTCATTTACGAGCTTCCTTAAGGGCCTTTTAATATGATTTCAATGAGGGAAGGGGAAGATTGTGGTGATAGGAATAATAGAGAAGAAAAATAGAATGTGTAGGAAGGGTGGATTTCTGCCGAGAAACCTGGTTGAGGTATGTTTTGACAAATGAGTTAAGTTTTGGTTTAAATCAAGATATGAGCCCAAAGTTCATGAATTTCTTCTATAACTATATTTTCTAAGTTGTTTACACGAGGCGGGGAGCTTGAGACGGTGTGAGAACTCTTCATATGGATGTTTCATCTAGTTAGGTGAAATAATTTTTTTATAAGTTTTTATGTGATTCTATGTTTGACAATAATGCATCTAGAATTCTGTTGTATATTGTTGGTGAATACCGGCAATAGATGTATGAATGTAAATTGATTGCTCTCCCGACACATGATTTTACTATGATATGAAACAAATGAATATGATTATGAAATCATTTCCTATAGATATTCAATTTCTATGTTTTATGTCTATGATATATAAAATATTTGATGAATGTTTATTACAAAAATTATGTTTTATGAAATGTTACAGGTGTTGTTATATATAGACTATTACAAGTACTTGCAAATACAAATGATAAGAATGTGGGATTCTCGACTTCTGGTATTCAGGCAGTGACAAAAATCTGGGAACTTTTAATATCAGAGGAGCTATGATAACTACTACATTGGGGGGCAATCTTTATCAATAGTTAATATGACATTTAGGGTAGGATGATGCACATGATGTCAAGATATAAAAATAGTTGAGGCCTATACATTGCACAAGTGACACTGTTATGATGTTATGATTATATGACTATGATGACATTACTATAATGACATTTATAATAATTTTGCTATGTTTATGAACATGCTTATAAATATATGTTTATGACTACACATGAATGAAAGTACATACATGTTTTATATAACAGTTACGATTTTCTACACTATATGTTTTCTTTTACACGTGCTATATGATTCTAACTTATTATGACTTATGCATGAACATGTACAGTTTCCTATGAGCATGCAGATTATTCTTTTCATGTATAAAATCATATTTAGTTTTGATTCTTTTGTTGAGTTTGTTGTTTCTCACTCTATGTTATTTACTTTCAGAAAGGGGTAAGATGCACCGGAGCGAGCAGCAAAATGTGACTTGTATAATTTTTATATTTATTCTTTAGTGAGTTTGTACAAACATTTGGATAAGTATTATATTTTTGTTAGATTTATAGCTTTGTATAATGTATATGTTTTGATGATATGATTTTCCACACTTCTAAATGTATATGAAAATTAATAAAATGAATTGTATTAAGTATATTTGACGCAATTTAGTTAGATTAATTCATCACCCATTGGGTCATAATTCTGTAAGTCGGGACAAATGTTGGAGAGAAATTAATTTGATCAAATTGTTTGCCTTGTCGCAACTCAGTTGAGCCTTAAGTGGGGTCATTTGAGGTGTGACGGAAAGCGGTATCAAAGAAAGGTTATTGAATTAAAGATTGATGGAAGCATGTTGAATTTAGAAGAAGTAAGAATGAGATTAAATATAAATTAATTTATATAAAGCTATGGCTTGATGAATCTATGGTGGGTGACCCATACGACTTATATTAGTATATTATAAATTGCATTTGAATAATAATTATTGTCAATACAGATGAATATGCCTAAAGGAGAAGAGATCATAAAGTACCGAGAGCCAGTCTTTTAGGTCAAATGCACAGCAAGAAGTAAGATCTAAAAATTTATTGGGCGTAAATGATAAACAGAGCAGAGCAAATGAGAAAACCAAAGCAACTGACCTACTAATCATCGTTCAATTGATATCACAAGTGGTTGACAAAATAACTACTGTCGAAAGATCTTACACCATTATAGGGCCCAAATTTGAACTTGGGATAGAAGTTTATTGGTATTTAAAAATCTTTTAAGATACCTGCGTTCAAGGGTGTCAATGACTCTACGATTTTTTAGGATTGACTACTTAAGATTGAAGAAATTTTAGATTGTGTGATTTGTCCGAAAACCAAAGAGTGGAGTTAGCCACTTTCATATTAGAAGGCAAGGCATAGGTGATGGCAGACGCATCAAAGACAAAAATTTCAGCTGAAATCTCTTCCACAGGTTCAATAAGATGAATTTCTTAAAGTCTTAAAGGATTATGTTATTCCACCTTCAACCAAATTAGCTTTATAAAACAAATTCTTCAATTTGACATAGTGGTTCATATTAGTTATGTAAGATGAGGCAAAAATCACTTTTCTTTCTAGATATGCATCTCACTATCTCAGTACCCAAAAAGAAAAATGTCACCAATTTCTATGCGACTTCAGAGATTAGTTGATGTTGGCTTTGGTGCCATTTGAAATCCGTGATTTCTCAGTTTTAGTTGAAAGGATCAGACGAATTGAAAAATGAGATGAACTTTTCTAGTCGGTGATGACAACCTCAAAAAAGTAAGAGAAAAGTTTTCAGCAATGAAGTCTTTCAAAGTAAAAAAAAAGCATATCATGAGGAAAGCAAAAGCAACCATAGTCAGAAAAACTAATTGTGAAAAAAAAAATGTGAAAAAAGATATTTTGGGTAATGTTTGATAGGTTCCACAAAATACTACAAATGTGGACAGTCAGGGCATCTTTAGATGAATTTCACATAAGAAAAAAAAGAGATAATAGATCACTAAAAATTCAAGGACCCTTGACAACCCAAAAAGATATTTCGAAGGTAGTCAATCAAACAGAGCTTGGTTTTGGGGAAATCCTTCAATGCAAACAAAGGGAAAAATTTTGTATTGCGGGACTAACCAACCAATAAAAACTTGAGTTTTTGCAATTGCCCCTCAAGAAGCCAAAGAATCTGAAGAAGTAATTACATATATGCTTCTGATTCAAGATTTGTCAGACATTGTTTTATTTGATTCAAGTGAATCACATTCTCTTATTTCTAATAAGTTTTATGTTAGTTTACATTGTTAAGATTATGCAATTTACTCTTGCATTGTGTGTAATTATGCATTCAAGAAGTGGTTTTTCTACAAACAAAAATTATGTCGTGTAAGTTAATATTCATGATAAAAAGATGCAATCAAAATTAATTATAATAACAATTCAGACTTATAATTGGGACTTTCAGTATCATATTGGGGATGAATTAGTTAGCAAAACATTTTGTTATAATTGAATGCTAGAAAAGGCTACTAAAACTCAATTATTTGGTGAAAAATCATTCTATATTTTATGTAATTGAAATGCACAATCTTATCTAATTAGTGCAGTAAAAGATTGGAAGCATTTAAGAAATGGTGAATTGGTATTTCTGACCAAAATAGAAGTGTTGAATAAAGATATGTAGGAATTGAAAAACATTTTATTTATTGTAGATTTTTCTTATGTATTTCCTGAAGAATTATTAGAGTTACCACCATAACGAGAAGTTGAGTTTGACATTGATGTGAAACAAGAGACATGCAATTTTCAAGTCTCTGTACAAAATGGCTTCGAAGGAATTATAGAAATTGAAATATCAGTTATAGAAACTGGTAGATGAGGGTTTTATCAGGCCAAGCAATTCACCTTGGATTGCTCTGATATCATTTATTAAGAAGAAAGGCAATCAATGCGGTCGTGCATTGGCTATAGAGAACTGAATAAAGTGACAATAAAGAATAAATATAATTTTGCTCAAAATCGATGATCTAATTGATTAGTTAGAGGGTGCTAGTATATTTTCCCAAATTGATCTGAGATCTGGATATCATCATGTCAAAGAAAGGAGGTAAATGCGATTGAGATGGCATTTGGGACTAGGTTTGGTAATTATGAATTCTTAATTATGCATTTTAGCTTAACCAATACTCCTACTATATTTATGGACCTGATGAATTGAAATTTTATGCTTCATGTGAATCAGTTTTTCATTATTTTTATTGATGATATTTTGATATATTCAAAAACTGATGTTGATCATGCTAAGCATTTGAGGATAATATTGCAGTTGTTGAGTCAGAATCTGTTATATGCAAAGTTATCTAAATGTGAATTTTGGCTGCGAAGAATTAATTTTTTTGGGCATATTATCAGTGGTTAAAAAATCTCAATAGATCCTCAGGATGTGAAAGCAATTATGGAATGAACTACTTCAAAAAATGTTACAGAGGTACACAATTTCCTTAGATTAACTGGGCATTGTCATTGTCAAAATTGATGATGAAAGATGTTCATTTGAGTAGAATATAGAATGTAAGCATAATTTCCAAGAGTTGAAGAAATATTTGATCATTGCTCCAGTGTTAGCTATTCTATTAGGTGCATAAGGGTTCCAAATTCATAGTGACACGTCGTTGTGAGGCTTAGAATATGTTTTGATGCAAAAGAAAAAAATGATAGCGTATGCATCCAAACATCGAAAGAGAGGAACTATCCAACACAAGACTTGAAGTTAGCTACTGTAGTTTTTGCTCTCAATATCTGGAGATATTACTTGCATGATGTGAAATATGAGATATTCACCAATCGTCAAACTTTGAAATGCATTTTTACACAAAAAATCTGAATTGGAGGTATCAAAGGTGGTTAAAGCTTATTAAAGATTTTGATCTGAATATACAATATTGTCCCAGTCGTGTAAATATAGTTGTTGATGCTTTGAACCATAAATTTATAGGTAGTGCAAACTAGATTATAACTCGATAACTAGAGGAGATAATTAAAGAAATTGATGCCTTGCAGTTGGAAATCAGAATATCAGGTGATATAGGATATTTACATCAGCTGATAGTGCAATCAACTTTGATACATAGATCAATGTCACTCAGAGAGTTAATAGTGAATGTCTGAAACATTTGAAACAACTTCAATCAGGAAAGAGGGTCAATATGACAATTAATGAAAATGATGTAATAAAAAATAAGTTGCAATTATGGGTACTTGTTGATTCTGAGTTGAGATAGGAAATCTTACATAAAACTCCAATTGATTTAGATGACACTAAAATGTAGAAGGATTTGAAACTGATATTATGGTGGCCAGGTTTGAAGAAAGATATTGTTGAATATGTAGCTTACTATCAAGTTTGTAAGATTGTAACGACTGATCATCAGAGATTCAATGGATGGCTATAATCATTGCCAATACCATAATAGAAATAAGAAAAAAATGTTATAGAATTTGTTATTGGATTTCCTTGATCCAAGCAGAGTCATGACAATATTTAAGTCGTTATTGATAGGCTAACAAAGTCAAGTCACTTTTTACCAATCAGGCTAATAAATTTAGTTGAAAACATTTTTTACAGAAATGAAAGATTCACGCCCATGTTGTGTACATTGTGGAAAGGCATTCAACAAGGTTTGGAAAGACAATTGCATTTTTGCACAATAGTTTATCCACAAATAGACGAACAATCAAAAAGGACAATTCAGGTATTGGAAGATTTGTTTCGGCTTAATATTCTCAACTTTGGAGACAGAGAAGATCACATTCCAATGATCAAGTTCATTTACAACAATAGCTATTATCAAAATGGCTCCTTATGAAGCACTAAATGGAAGGAAATGCATAACTCCAATAAGTTCGGTTGAAGTGGGTGAACATCAAATATTAGGTCCATAGTTAGTTGATGAAGTTACAGAGAAACTCAGTTTAATAAGAGAATGATTAAAGTTGCACATAATTGACAACATAAATATTACAATCCAAAGTACAAAACAGTAGAATTTGAAATTGGCGAATATTTTTGAAAGTCGGACGAATAAAAGGTCCAACCAGATTTGGTCAGGAAGCAAGTTGAGTCTCAAGTACATCTGGTCTTTTGAAATTATAGAAAGAATCAATCTCATTGTTTGCAGGTTATGATTACTTGCTGATATATCATTTATTTATGATGTGTTTCACATTTCAATGCTCAGAAAATGGATTTCAAATTTAGAACAAAGGATTTCTCATGAAGATATTGACGTGCAAAAAAATTTAACATGTATTGAAAGCCCTGAAAGTACTTTAGAAACTGATGTTAAGAAGGTGATGAACAAACAAATTCATTTTGTCAAGATAAAGTACAAGCACCGGCCTGAAAAAAAAATGGTTCATGGGAAAAAAAAATATGAAACAAAAATATCCCTCCCTATCTAAATAAAGTCAGAAATTTCAAGAATGAAACTTTTAAAAGGATAGGAGAACTGTAACACCCAAAATTTCGAGAAATCTTGTAAAGTTCGATAATTTTTAAAATATACCTAGTATTTTTTTGCATCCCCGAAATTTAATTGAAACAATTTTATAAAATTTTACACATAAAATCAATCAATTTGATGTAAAGATATATAAAATTTGAGTGAATTGAGAGATGTAAAATTCAGAAGTTATATAATTATTAAATTAATTAAACCCTTAATTAATCCTAATCTTCCCTCCAATCTCGTCTCTCCACTGCAGCAACCCAACCCCGTACTTAACAACACATGCAATGATTGAATAGGATCGAGCGGCTAAGAATTAAATGGAGGTAAGTTAAAATGCTGTGTTTTTTTTCCTCTCCCTGTTCAATTTCACTCGGAAGATGATCCCACGAGAAGCAGTGCCCATGCACTGTAGCACGTACGTGATATGGAGAACGCCCTGTGAGCCGCAGGTTATGATCTGAAGCTCCAGGAAGAATTTGGTAAGTTTGAACATTCCTTTCCTTCCTCCTATTTCCGTTTTGACGTTTGCCATGAATTTGTGCATTTTTTATTCCCCGTAGCCGTAACATGAGACGAATTTGTGTCGAAAGGATTGAACTTGGTTTGTGAGCTTTCTTAAGAGCTTTTAGCACGATTTCAGTGAAAAGAAGTGAAGATTGAGATGATCAAAAAAAGAAAGAAAAAGAATAGATGGTATTGGAAGGGCTTATTTATGTTGAGAAGCGTGTTTAAGGTATGTTTTGGCAAATGAGTTAAGTTTTGGGTTAAATCATGATATGAGCTCAAATTTCATGAATTCCTACGTTATCTACAACTTCTAAGATGTTTTCACAAGGCGGGGAGCTCGAGAAGAGCGTGTGGGAACTTGTCGTGGGGCTGCTTCATCTAGTTAGGTAAAATAATCATCCTAAATTAAGAAGAATAATTCTCTATGGGTTTTCATGCGATTCCAAGTTTGACATTACTGCTTTTATAATTTCCTACATATTGTGGATGAATAACTGCAATGAATACATGAATGTAAATTGATCGCCCTTACAATACATATAATTTTACTATGTATGAAACTGACGAATACACTTATGAAATCATTTCCTGCAGGCATTTGATTGTTATGATTCATGCCTACGATATATGAAATGATTGATAAATGTTAATTACAAGAATTATGCTTATAAAAGTGATGTTATATGTAGACAATTACAGGAGTATTTGCAAGTACAAATGATAGGGATGTGAGATTCTTGACTTCTAATATTTAGGTGGTGATGAAACTTTGGAAACCATTATGATCAAACCGTGAACGTACAGAACTATTAGTATGAGGGGGCTGTTGATGACTACTATATTTGGAGAGAAGAACCTTTACCAATTATTAATATGGTCTTTGGTACAGGACGACGACTCGTAATATAATAGGACACGAAAATAATTGATGATTATACATTGCACAAATTATATTGCTATGATGCTATGATTATATGGCTATGTTGACATTGCTATGGCGACTTTGTTATGATTATGAACATGTTTATGAATACATGCTTATGACTACACATGAATGAAATGACATACATGTTTTATACAAAATGCATGATTTTCTACACTACATGTATTTCTTTTATGCGTTTTATGATGATATCCCAATTGAAGTGTGCAAATATTTGGGAAATTTGGGAGTTTCTTGGCTTACTAAACTATTTAATATTATTTTAAAAACTAAAAAGATGCCTGAGGAGTGGTGGAAGATTATTTTGGTCCCCATTTTTAAGAATAAAGGGGATGCACAAGAGTGTGCAAATTATAGAGGAATTAAGTGAATGTGTCATACTTTAAAATTATGAGAGAGGGTAATTGAACATAGGTTAAGACAAATCACAAAAATTTCTCATAATCAATTTGGATTTATGTCGGGCGAGTCTACTATGGAAGCTATACATTTATTGAGAGGTTTGATGGACAAGTCCAGAGATAATCAAAAGAATCTACATTTGATTTTTATTGATTTAGAAAAAGCTTACGATAAGGTTCTAAGAGATATCCTTTGGAGGGTTCCAGAGAATAAATGTGTTGATATGACTTATATTCAAGTCATTAAAGATATGTATACTAGAGCTGTTACTTGTGTTCAAACTGAAGGAGGATTGACAAAATATTTTCCTATTTCTGTTGGATTACATCAGGGATCGGCTTTAAGCCCATATCTTTTTGTTTTAGTTATGGATGGTCTTATTGGACATCTACAGGAGGATGTACCTTGGTGTATGCTTTTTGCTGATGATATCCTTCTCGTGGATAAAACGAGAGAAAAAGTCTAGGAAAAACTTGAATTATGGAGGTTTACATTGGAGTCTAAAGGCCTTTGTTTAAGTAGAACTAAAACTTGTGTCGTAAATTTGGAAGACATTATGGACAATATTAAAATTTTAATCTAAATTCAACCTACAAATTGATAGTCAAAACGAGGACTAAGAATCATAGATAATTGAGACCTACACCATTCTACATTCAAATTAGCCAACAACAAAACAAATACATCTTAAAATTGTGCATAGATACAGTACAAAATGTCCAAGTGATCTAGCAAGCTTAACATATTGCATTCGCTTTTGCAAAAGACTTCATGAGCTACATACCGATATAAGAAAGCAAATTGAAATAAGCAATAAAATAAATAAATAAATAAATAACCAAAATAAGAACTTAATGAAGTGGCATAAGTGCTAATTTAGATTTGATTTGAACATCATTCACTACAAACTACAAAAAGCTATATGGAAGGGCATAAGAATTCTTCAAAATAATTAGAAGAATTAAGCCTAATGCATTTTATCTAGAACTGCCTTATGACATATTAATAGAACTTTGATCTTAATTTACTAGAACTAAATGAAAATATGACACTAAATAGGACGCAATGGAGAAAAAGGATTCATGTAGCCGACCCCACGTAGTGGGATTAAGGTTTTGTTGTTGTTGTTGTTGTGTTATACAATTCTAACTTATTATGACTTGTGCATAAACATGTACGGTTATCTATGAGTATGCTCATTATTTCTTTTTAGTGTAAGAAAATTTATTTCAGCTTTGATTGTTTTGTTGAGCTCGTTGTTGCTCATGCTATGTTATTCACTTTTAAGAAATGATAAGGAGCCTCAAGGCGAGTAGTTAAGCATGACTTATACAACTTTTACATTTATAATTTTAGGAGATTGCAGTCTTTTGTGTACTTATTATATTTTTGTTGGATGTAACAACTCTATTTAATTTATGTTTTAATAATACGATTTTCCACACTTCCGAGTATATGTGAAAATTGATGAAATGAACTGTATTAGGTATGTCTGAGATAATTTAGTTAGACAAATTCATCACTCACTGAGTCCTGATTCTACAAGTTAGAATGAGTGCTTGTGAGAAATTAATTTGATTAAATTGTTTGCCTCTGTTGCACCTCAGTCGAGCCTAAAGGAAGTGACAATTGAAATGTGACGAACTCTGATCCATTTTAAACTTTCACCCCGTGGTAAGCCCAAGGAACCCAACAAATGTTTCTTATTTGAATCAGTTTGTGAAGGAAATCTCAGCTGCAATGATGGTTTGAATGACGGAAAGTAATAATACAGAATGGCTGTACAAGAAGCTAAATTATTTACCAAATATCGACCCTTTTAGTTATTAATGAAATTGATAATACAAGTTACAAGCGGATATCAGCCCTTCAACGAGTACTTCTTCCCCGTTAATGCCTGGAACGAGGGCTCTCCTCTCTTTGGAAGTTCATCCTTGAGCACCTGACATGAGAAGCAATTCAGTAAGTCCATAACGAACTATAATAATATATAATATTTGGAAAGATTTACAACGATACCACTCAATTCCTACTTATTATATATCTAACACCAAATTTCAGTTTTTGCATATACATGCCACATTGCCTATGTATGAAAATGTGTATTTCACTTCTTTAAAGTCAAATTGATGGTTTTTCTTATGTGACTTGAAATATTTGGGTGGTATAGATCTAAAAAAGAAAAGTTGAGGTATTAGATATTTAAATACATAGGAGATGGGTGGTACATATGTAAATGCAACTAATATTTCTAGCGATATTTTCTCATAAGGATGAATTAGAGAAAAGATTTCCATCTAAATACAAAACAGCATCATCAAATATTTTTAATGAATTACTCGTACAATAATATTACCCACTTATCTTAAAGAGATGATACTTGCGCAAATTTCTAATATAATCATTTCTCATAATTTTTTTGATTGTGACATACCTTTGGAGACTCTTTGTGAGCATGGACGGCATTTGAACCAAAGACGAGTTTCCCAGAGGTTTTGAGTGAAGTGGAGCTCTGTGACATCCTCGTCGTCGAGCTATTTGAGCCATTTGCTGCTTCCGACAGACCATAATTCTCAATATTGGGAATATCAGCAGTGAGACTAGAATGCTTTCCGTCCAAGCGCCTCGTTGAACCCACGAAAGGATTGTGCTTCTGTTCAGCCACAGGTTCAGCTGTAGGGGTATGAACTGAAAATTTCAAATCAGAAACAAGATTAAATGCAAATGTTATGTTCTAATGCAAAACATAACAAATATTTGTTGCAAAATTAAATGATTAGTAAATTTAACAGACAAATAAAAGGAGTTCGCATTTGGGAATTGAAAATATGGAGTTGCTTGGTTGAATAGTATTTGGATGTGTTAATAATATAGGAAATTTACATACATGGCAAGCAATTCTTATACATTTACTTATCTCACAAGCAAATTTTGATTTTTACACTTCAAGTACCTTTTCCTATGTATGAAAAGGTAAAAATAGCGTAATCCACCTTTTTATACTTAATTTAAGGGTGCTTATGGTGTAAAATCAAAGTTTGGGTGCGAAACAAGTAAATGCGTAAGAATTGGGAGCTATGTATGTAAATTTTCCTAATAATATATGTTTGAGTTTTCATTATTATTTAAAGTATTTACATGCATACTACCCATTCCTATGTATTTACATATCTAGCATCTTTAAATCTACTTTTTGCATTTATATCACCCAAAATCTTTCATACGGTATAAAAAAATATTACTATTTAAACTTTTAAAAAGTGAAATACACCTTTTCATGCATACTACCCATTTATGTATAGGGTATTTACATGCATACTACCCATTCCTATGTATTTACATATCTAGCATCTAAAATTTACTTTTTACATTTATATCACCCAAAATCTTTCATACCGTATAAAAATATTACTATTTAAACTTTGAAAAAGTGAAATACACCTTTTCATGCATAGGGTGCATATATGCTAAAATTGAAGTTTAGGTGTTAGATATGCATATACATAGGAATTGTGAGAATATATGTAAATCTTCCTATTATACTTAATGACATCAAGATATAGTATTGTTATATTTAAATACATCTAGATGACTGTTAAACCGACGCTGACTCTGCCAAACAATTTGAAGACTTATTTATGCACAAAGCAAAAAGGGCAATATAATAATATATTATTTATTATAGTTTGGTATAAATATGGCTTAATAGGATTAGGGTTATGTTATGCATGTGATTGTTGGCTCGAGTCTTAGGGTTAGTATTTGGGAGAGATCGCATACCTCTTGAATTGTAGGTGTTAATATTTGAATTTGGGAGAGATTGCCTACCTCTGAAATTATAGGTACATCTTTTATGTATTCGAGATTATTTTGTTTTGATTTGATTCTGGTGATATAAAAATATTTTATTTTATCCTAATTTTTCGGCGGAAATTTATCTTCATTTCTATCAAATTGGTATCAGAACAGCATATTAAGACGTACAATGCGTGAACTTGTTTTGCCATAATCTCTCCAGAGCCAATGGGATCGCGACACACAAGGCAAACAGGGTGTGAAGCAACGAGATTGTCCTCGCGATATAGTCACGATACGAGCTAATGCGAAGCTGACAATAGGATTGTCGCGTACTAACTCTCACAAGGCATATTGGGTGTGTAGTGATGAGATCGATCCTGCAATACAGTCGTGATACGAGCGACACGTTCTCGATACAAGTTTGATGGGAAGCCGACGACAAGATCACCATGTACTATCATACGATACAGTCGCGATTCGAGCTACCTGAGAAACCAACGACAAGATTGCAAAGGAGTCTCGCTTTCTTGATAAAAAATCGTAATCGTATGGGGAGTAATAGAAGCCCCAAAAAAAAAAATGCCTTGAAGAAAAAATTAGGACAGTTGAGCCAGATTAGATTTGAAATGGAGGGATGATTCTTGTCCATGGAGAATAAATTCCCTGCCTTGGGAGAAATGATTAAGAAGATCATGAACTTTCAAGCAAAATGGCTACCACCTATCGTGTGATCGAGCGATAGCGTCTGGAGCGGATGTGAGCGGCAACAATCAGATGAATTTAAGCAACAACAAAGAAATGTCGTTGCCTTATGCGGATCTGGAGCCGTGGTATCGAGCGACGGTGTCTGAAGAGGACGTCAGCGGCAGCAATCTGAAAAATTTGTGCGACATTAGAGCAGTGTCCTTGCTTTAGGCAAATCTAGAGCTGTGATTTCCAGCGAAAGAATTGGGAGCAAACTCGAGCAGGCAATAATCCGAAGATTGGGGGTTTCTCCCATCAGTGTGCGCTCATATCGCTACCCCCAATTACAGAAGGACGAGATCAAGAGATTGATCTGAGAGATGATGGAGGTCGGGATTATACAGACTAGTGTGAGCTCCTTCATTAGCCTAGTCTCGCTAGTAAAAAAGATGAGAGTTAGTGTTTCTATGTAAATTATCAGACAGTGAATAAAGAAAAAGTAACTGGCAAATTTCTCATGCAGGTCATCAATGAGCTACTGGACGAGTTGTTTAGGGCTGCATTATCCTCCAAGATTGACTTGAAGTTAGGTTATCAACAGATTCAAATGTGGCCCAAAGATGTGCAAGCATTTTGAATTTATGAGAATTACCACGAATTTCTAATTAAATGGAAATGATTATCAGATAATCACCAACAAAAGTTTCCTCTCTTTCATCTTAAGGACAAGGTGGCCTTCTAGGAGGGGAGTAATGTTAGACGGATGTCAAGCCACTAAATAATTTGAAAACTTATTTCCGGTGCAAAGCTAAAAGGGAAATATAATGATTTATTATTTATTATTATTTGGTATAAATAGAGCTTCATTTGATTAGAGTTATGTTATGCATGTGTGATTGTCTTGAGTCTTAGGTTTGGGAGAGATCTCCTACCTCTCAAATTGTAGGTGTTTATCTTTTATGAATTTGAGATTATTTTATTTTGTTTTGATTTGATTTCGGTGAAATAAAAATATTTTATTTTCTCCTAATTTTTAGTGGAAATTCGTCTCAGGTCCTATCAACGACCAAAATTGTGTGATAGTATGAATTATCAAGTAATGAAAGGCCATACCCTACTCCATCATATATACTCCATAGATGGTTTAATTTAGTGGAACAACTTGAAGTTGTCTAGGGATTATCAACTTTATGTCTTCATTCGTAGGGCTTCGCCCATCTTCATAATTGTGGCTTCATCCATTATCAAGACATGTCACTTGCTACCACTTGTACCAATTTGCAATTTTGTCAGCTGCAATTGTGCGCATCCTAAGCCACAATTTCAACTCCATACAGGGGTTCACACAGTTTCATCCACCAGGTTTGTAATTTGACATGCCTTACACAGTTTCATCCACAGGTGTGAGTTTACTGCGGAGCTCCTTCAGATCTGTCATCATCAATGTCTTCTCATAACGTCTGCACCTCATCAGATCTCTACCTCTCTCTCTCCTAAGGCTGCCCTCATTGCTTCTATGGCAGACCTTGATGGTCGTCCTCTTCTAGTGCCGGCTACAAATTTTTCCCCCTCTAATGTTTGTGGGCATGCACAGTCTCTGCCTTTGATTTTTAATATAGGTTCTCTTGCATGTCCAAACATAGTAGACCAGCTTCGTATCCCTACTCTGATGTGTTTGCCTAAAAGCTTTAGTTGATCCTCCTTAGTAAGGTCGCCACCTCCCATAGTGACCCATAATAGTACCGAGGCTGCCCGCTCACGTCCTTCCCAATGGCTGAACATTCCCTCTCATTCTTCACTCCTTGGGAAGTTTGTTCGCGATTCAAATGTTGAAGATATTTTCCCCTTCTCATTCAATAATTTCCCAATGTTTCTCGTAAATATTTAGAGAATCAACATAAATAATCTTTATCTTTTCAAGACAAGCCTACTCTCATTTTTTTTTAATGAAAAGATTTATACGTTGCCTTCTCACGTATTGACAATTTTTTCTAGGGTTCATCCTTCCATGGAGATGATTTGCAAGGTTGTCTAATTTACAACAATAAGGTGATTATTTATTTGGGCTCATCAACCATCAATAAAAAGTTTCTCTAAAAGCATATTATATCAGTATATTCTCAAGGATTTCCTATTAAAATTAATGGGTTCTCAATGTGCATGTTAAAATGATCTTCACATTTCCATCTGTCACTCCGATTTGGATCTCATTTTCATGACTTCCTTTAAATTATTTCAATCAGTCTACATTGTTCTCTTTGGCTTCAATCTTTGGAAAACCTCTATAGATAGATGTGGCAATACCTCATGGTGTAAGACCCTCTATGGCTACAGTTTAGTAGAAATAGATATTAATGCCCTCTTCCATAAGGAGGTTTGGATTGAGTCTCTACTATTTGAATATTCATAGAAGGTTGATATTAAAAACATTCCACCTTTGTAGCCTTTTTTTCCATCTCGTACTTTTTTTTAGCTCTGTTATTTCCTAGTAAATACACTTAATGTACTAATATCAATCATCTACTTAAGATATGTTACCTTAAAAAAAATTATGCCAATGACATCAATAGATGTTACCAAATTTAGTGACATATAGGTGTAAAGTCAGAATCGGCCAACATCTTAAATATGTTTGAAAATATAAATATTTCAATAGTGCACTGATTATGATTGTAAAAATTTTGGTATTTTTAATTGCAATAATATTAAATCAAACATGAAATATTTGAAAAATAAAGCCAAGATCTTCATAACAGCTAAAATAAAAAACTCACAAGAAAATATTTATTGAAGTTGTCATAAATCCAAAAATCAATATTTATAAATAACTTGACAATGCATTATAATGTTGGTGAATCAAACATTTCCTTGGGATGCTCAGGGTGTCAATAAACTCTTCATGTGGACAAGTAAATCATTGAAAAGGACTACAAAATTATTCTACATAATTACAAGATTTTTAAGCTCATGGATATTAAAAACTGGATGCACAACATATATGTAATGCACATTATATAATGTTTTAGGGTCTCTGGTAGACTGGCGCCAAGCCTGCTAAATAATTTAAAGACTTATTTTATGTGCAAGGCTAAAGGGGGTAATTTAATCTTTTAGGTATAAATATGTTTTAATATGTTAGGGTTGTGGTATGATATGTGATTGATGTCTTGAATCTTAGGGTTAGCGTTTGGAAGAGATCGCATACC